GCCTTTTAGTTTGTGCACAGACAGGAGTTTCTGTGGTCTGTTCCTGCATTCCTGCAGGGTCTGTTAAGGCCATTGCTGAAGGAGCAGAGGAACAGCTGGACAAGAGAACAAAGCAGGCAGTGGCACCCCTTGGAGGAAGGAAGAACTGAACCCCAGGAAACAGCTGATGGAGCTAAACTCAGCTTGTTTTTTTTCCTCTGCTCAACAGTTCTTGTGCCATGGCAAACAAAAGATAGACATTCTGATTTGCTTTACTGTTTGGTTTGAGATATCAATTGAGTTTATTTTTCAAAGATCTGTGGGAAAAGGTAGAGAGATCTAAATCCCATCTCTCCTCATTTGCCTGTTTCTGTGCGGATGAAAACTCCAGAGTTCTCTCTCTTTCTCCCTGGTATCTGCTAGAAGCTAGGATAATGGTAGGGTTCAAGGGACTTCCCATTCTCAGGGCAGCAATCTGAACAGGATGTATGAGCACACTTAAACTGTGGGGTCACTCTGCTCAGAGTTGTGGTGTGCCAAGTACCCATTGACTGTACTGGAAATTAGAGTGCATTAGTGCTTCTCAGGATCACATCTTTTATTATTAAAAGATTATAATTATGTGACCTTTTAAAAATTCATGCAGGATCACATTTTGCAAATGAAACATTTGTATACTTTCAGATGAGTCATTTCTGCTATGCCCTGTCAAACCACACTCAAAGCAACAATTCCACTTCACAGAACTTCTTCACTAATGTATCCAAAGACAACATTTGGTCATTACCTTTTACGGGATTATTAAGAAATTGTATTTTGGGTTGTTCTAGGGATAGAGAAATTAAGGGAGAAGCAGATCTTTGTGCCCCTTTTCAAAAGCAAATCAATTAAAATTTAATATATTTTTATTTTATTTTTTTTTATCACAAAAGACAGTAGTAGCTGAAGAACAAGCAAAAAATAGCTAGTGTTGCACTAAACTACACTCAAAAAATTTTTGTGCCTCTGCAATGGCATATGATTTCTGCTTTCTGTAAGAAAGTTGGGGTAATACTTCTTGGCTCCATTGTGCTATTATTTGTATTTTTATTGTTGTGCCCCATTAGACATTTTCAGGTCAGTGAAGGGGTAACTCCATGTTTATGTATTTCTCTATAAGATCACTTGAGCAGTCAACACTTAGGTTCACATTGTTCCTGGTCTTACCAGGAATCTTGGAGGAAAGAAGACAATAACGTGTTTGATCTTAGTCTCACACAAAACCCAATGCACATCCTAGTAGTGTAGATTTGACAACAATGGAATTCAACTTTTTGAGTGCGTTCTTTTTTTTTTGCCTGTTTCCATTAAAAGAGTAAGGTTTATCCACATAAAAGACAAATTTGTAAGAAAAGGTGATTTTCAGTGAATACACACCTTCTGAATTTCTAAATTTTTTTTGAGTGAGAACAACTACAAAATCATTTAAACCTAATGATTTTTTGAGTTACAGACATATCAGTAATCCATATTTAGAGGTACCAATTCTGAGGTACAATCAGATAATTCTAACTGAATTAAATATTCAATAACAGCCCATGGTATTGAATACCACCCCTTCTAAAAATTTATCTTTTTTTTTTTTTTTTTTTTTTTTTTTGTGATGTCTTTAAATTCCTTTGCTTTCTGTCCTATACAGTATATATTTTTACACCTTGGCCTGCTGAAGTAAACTCATTACTCTGATTCACTTTTGCTTTGGGAATCAGTAGATATATTGTCTTCTTAGTACACTGTTCTTTTTTTTCTCAAATCCCACTACTGCTAGTGAGAGTTGTACACTTTAAAAACTCCCTTCACTAAGCTTCTATTTTATCTACTTAAATAAATCTCTCCTGAGTCATTGAGGCTGCCTTTCATGTTGCCACAGGATCTGTTTTCCTTGTAAGATGATCTGATTTTTGACATCTTGTTCTCTGTAATGATTATTGCAGGGATGTTAGGTTTTAGATTCCCTCTAATGCTTTCTGCTCCCCAAAGATAGAATTAAATCTTCATTTGAAAGATGTGTGTTCTTCCAGTGCCAGGGGTTGAATAATTCTCTTTTTTTGTGTTCTCTAATACAGAAAATGCTTATGACTGAGAGAAGAAAGATACTTTCTTCCCAAATGATCTTTCTTGCCAAATGCTTTTGCCAAAGCTCCACATATGTAGAAATACATGGAAAATTTAAGCTCCTTTCTTCAGATTCTTGTTTTGATAAAGATTGCAGATTTATATATTTCTTTCCTCTGCTTGTTTATGTGTTTCTTGCCTCTTAAACATCACTGCTGACTACTTGTGAAATGTGTTTGTTTCTGCTATAAAATGGAAATGCTTAGGTGGGGTTTGAATCTCAGGGGTTAGGATGTTTAGATTCCTGCTTCTTCCTTCATTATGAGTCGTAAGAAAGCTTCAGGACTGGGAGAGTTTTGTTTTAAGATTAGGTTCAAATTTTGATGAAATTTCCTGAGAAAAACAACTTTCATAAAATTCTAAATATACTTTTGTCATATCAGAGGAACAACAGACAGTTCTAGACTTATCTCACATTGAGCTGAATCAGCTCTTGCTTTTTCTCTCCTTGAGAAACTCAAGTACCGTATCACAGCATGTTCTTCTGTATGGGGTGACTTACTGAAGGTTATGTGGAACATGTACATGGAAGAGACAAAGTTACTTGGCAACCTTTTATTTTGAAAAAGCAACTATGGAAGAAAGAAGTGAAAGGAAAGAGAGAGTCTGACAGGAGCTGCCTTGAAACACATTTATAATTGCAGAATTCTGACTTTTCCATATCAGTCTGTTCCTGCAGGATGATGTAAGTTGCAGCATTGTCTTATAAGAAAGACTGTACTGTGCTGTCAGGGTACATCTTGGTGATGATGACTCATCAGTTCCTCAAGGCATTAGTGCCCGAGCTTCATCTCAGTAAAAGTAAGAATGTTTATTGCTTCCCAGAAGACAAAAAAAAGATAAAAAATATTCCAGAAGCCTATTTAGTGTCTCTGTTCACTAACCTGCAGTGAACTCTGTGGCTGTGCATTTGTACCAAATTTTTTCTATTGCTTTCAATTCCTTCCCTGCCTTCCAGGTGTCATGATCTTCTGAGACCAGATGGATCTGGATTCTGTGGTCTGTATTTGAGCAATTTTCTGCCTTTCTGAGGTGGAGCAGTATTTGCATATAAAGATTTAAAATCATTGAGAAGTCTCTCAATATTAACTTATATTTAGAGAAATGCAATGCAAACAGTACAAATTTCCCATGGAATTATATATCAGCTGCTGCAATGCCTAATACAGCTACTCTGTACCTTGTGTTTTTAGTGAGAGAGGTAACTGTTGGGTTTTTAGCCTTTTCTGTTGCTCTCAGTGTGGCTGGTATTTTTGTTCTTATCTAATTTCTGTTTTTCAACCAAATGGATGATTATCCTCCCTAAAAGTAAAAAAAAACCAACAACCAACCAACCAAAAAAAAAAAAAAAAAAGAAAGAAAAAAAAAGAAAAAAAAGGAGAGCAAACCAGATTTAATTTTCTGTCCATTAGGCTTGTGTTGTAATTAATGCTAAGATGTTCCCTCTTGCACGTGTCGTTTGCAGTACAGTATATGCAACGATGTGTAGTGAAGTTTTTAGGGAGACCTGACTCAGAAATACCGTGCCCAAAGTTTTCAAAAATTAGAGGAGTTACCTAATCTCAATAAAATACTTAAATCTCTTGAGCTTTGCTTTTTACAAATACAATCTGTGCAAATGATGTCTAGTTGTAGTTACACTTTTCTAACTCTGTTTTGCTTTGGAGTGAATCTCTGTCACTGTTTGTGTTCTGGTAGCAGTAATGGTTGCCATCTTGGGTAACCTTTAAGTGGGATTTTGCACAAACATAATTTTCCATTGGTAATTAATTGGAAATGCTAACGCTACTAGTTCATTAGTCCCAATATTTCAAAAACATATAAAAGAGGTTCAAGCAGCTTCTGATGTATCACTGTTATTTGAATCTGGTAAATATATAAGATCTAGCATCAGAAGTGGCAGGCAATGTGAGGCTGTCAGTTATGGGGATGCTCTTTTGATTGAAAGCCCACATCCTCACTCATGTAACAGTGCAGCAGAATGTAGAGAGAGTTTGACCTTAGTTCCCTCCGAGGTGAATTGGTTCCGAGAGAGAGAGAGAGGCAGCAGGAGCTATTTTTGATGCTGTGGAGTCTGTCCCCCAAGGGGGAACGTGTCAGGCCTGGTCTGGGAATGAAGCTGGCAGATTCCCCTCTCAGAGCCCCCTTCTCTTGGAGAACTGTCCATTAGTGCTGTATATAGTAGTAGTCTTTATTCAGAGAGCTTTTTTCAGATAAATATTAATTCACTTGAATGCATGTAATTTACTGATTATAGTTTTCATAGGTTTACTTTCTTACAATGGTTTTAAAAGTTTTTATTGGCCCTTGACGTTAGCACTTCATTCAAGAAACTAAGAGGGAGTGCAAGTGAAAACTTGCTCGAGCAGCTTGGCCACCAGCTTGATCAGTTTTCTCATTAGCAGCAGACCCCTGTGTTGGACTAGTTACAACCACTGAACAGGGAGGGAGTGGATGATTGTGTCTGATATATGTCTTTTTTTTTCAGATTGCTAGTTGTATTTACCGGACAAAGCTAACAGCACTATCTTCAACAGGAAAAAAAATAATATGGAAGAAGAAAGCAAGCTAAACATGAATTTAAAAAACCCCCATATTTAGAGAGAAACTGCACAGGCATTTTCCCTTTGAAGAGCCTATTTCATAGCTTTCTCCATATGTTAAGATGTTAAAAGACAGAAATAGTCCATGTGCTAAAACAGAGTTATGCTTCAGAATTTTTATATAAAGATCAATTTTACAGAGTTTCTAGATACATAGTTAATACATTGTTTTACTAATTTTTAAGAATTATAAACTAGTCTGTTTAATTGTATGCATTTCTTTATTGGCATTGTATAGTAAATTTGTCCGTGTGTTTGCAATAGGCTGGAACAAACGGTTATATGGCTCCGGAGATCCTGAAGGAGGAAGATTACAGCTATCCTGTGGACTGGTTTGCTATGGGGTGTAGTATTTACGAGATGATTGCTGGGCGAACACCATTTAAGGATTTCAAAGAAAAGGTCAATAAAGATGAGGTTAGAAGAAGAACTCTGGAAGATGAGGTGAAATTTGAACATGCCAACTTTTCAGAGGAAGCAAAAGACATTTGCCGACTGTTTTTGGCCAAGAAAAAAGAGAATCGTTTAGGAAGCAGGTATGCCTTACTTCTCAAACTCAGTAAAAGCCGAATTAAATCTACAAACAATATTATTATTTTACAAATTACACAAAATCAGGTCAGATCTTGACTTCTTACAGAGTACTGAATTTTCCCTTTCACTTCTAGAGAAAGAGAGGTGGAAGGTTTTGAAGACATTAGGGAAGTAAGGAATTTTGTTGCAATAGACTCTGTATAATTCTAGGAGAAGGAAACAGTCAGTTTCTCTTGCATTTTCTTTCCTAAAGGTAAACGATAGTCAAGTAGATACCAGCATCTATCTACTGCAGACCTAATGCAGAATCTTAGGCTGTATCACTTACTGGGATGAGGTGGGCAAAAATCTAGATCTGCAATGTGGATTCTCTTCCTTGCAGATACATCTGACTTGCAAGGCTGCATCATTTGCTTTTACTGAAGACACCTTAACCCCTGTGATTTACTCAAGTGCTTGTAAACACTGTTGTAGATGTGCTGGTCTTCCTGACTCATACCAGGGAGAAAAGGAAGGAGAATGTTATTGAGCACAAATTCTTATAAAATGGGACTTTAGAGGTGGGTTTGGGTTGACAAAGACTGATGGATGTGTCCCTGACTTAGCAATTCCAAGTAACTGTTAAATAAGAAGAAAATTGGAAAGTTAGGTGTTATAGTATTTAACTTGTAATATGTCTGATCCCTCAGGGATGGACATTTGCAATGTAACCAAAATATATAATATAATATAATATAATATAATATAATATAATATAATATAATATAATATAACTGTGTAAGAAATTGATAGGAAACTGATAGTACCTGTCTTGAGAAAACACCATTATTTCAATCACTTTTGAGTACAAATATATGTATCAGGTGCTTTTCCAGTCTGAAGATGGAATAGACATAGGGACTCAATGAAAATGCTTAGATAGTCTTCTAAATTTATAGTTCATTACCATGTGAAATAACTTTGCAAAATGTTAGTCACACATTTGTCTAAAAGAGTTAACTTCAATGAAAGTTAATGTATAATTAGTAGACATTCTTATTCCAGTGTTAAATGAAGAAAAGTACTCTTTCTGCCTGATGAATTTTCCCAACAACTCTGCAAGGCTGCAGAAAAAAAAAAGTATTTTCAACAGCACATAGAGTATGCTTGATACAAAATACTATTATGACTTATGTTTTTAAAAGGTTATTTAAAAAATAAATTTAATACAGAAACATCTAGTGCATTGTACCTTACAAATCAACAGGCTTTGCAGACATTTAGTCTTACAGCATTTTGTGAAGTAAACAAAATTTTAGAGCAAGGGAAATTTAGACATTGAGTTCATTTTGCAAGTCTGAAGCAAAACCAGCAACAGACTATTCACTGAACTATAACCACATTCCTGTTCCCAAGGGAATAATTTGCAACCACTCTGCTTGCTGTTATTTCTCAGCAATGGGAGAAATGTACACAGAAAGGTAATTGCACAGATTATGTTTAATTTCCTGCTATTTAAGATATACTTACTCTTATGTGCCATACTTAGAGAAGGATGCACACCATGCCTGGGTGTGATGCAGAATAAAAACCTGCATGTACCTTTTAAACAGGGTGATACTATTCAGGACAGCTCATCCTTATGTAAAGATTAGCATGGTAATTCCACTAAGAACAACAAGACCTTGGGTTATCTACATAAGTGCCTGTTGCATAAGTTAAAGCTGCTCAAGGACAGCTTTACTTTGTACACCTGACCGTTTAAAATACCCCATTCTTTTATTGAAGACTCGGTGTCAATGGCTAGTTCAGGAAGGGTGTAACCCTTTTTATCCACTGAAGCTTTTTGGGATTGACACCTTTAATCCCAAATCTATGAAGTGGTTTGTTGTTTGTGTGTTTGTTTTAGTGGGGGAATAAAAAATTGATGGAGTTGAGATGAATTCATTTGCTCTTTCTCTTTAAGTTACATAACTGTGCATTTCACACAGGAAGAGTTCATCTCCAGCTAGTTGGAAGGTGCCTCAACCTGGTTCCAGTAGATGGCGTTCCTGTAGCTTTGCGGTTTTAAACCTTTTATGGTTTTTGTGGTGTCACAAAATACATCAGGCAGGGAAACACTGCAGCAATCCATTCTGTAGCCTTCACCAGCTTTTAGTGCATTTTGGTTTATGCTACAGAAAGGAAAAGCAAAATAAAGTGCAGTTTTTGTGAGTGTATCCGCCCAGTAGGATTGTCAGCACTAGTCGCCCACTGGTGTCCCAGGATGCTAATTAATTTGAACAGCAACTCTGATGCACTTCATGCTACCACTGAGTGTAAATAAATCACATCAGGCTCCAGGGCTGCTCAAGGACTTGGTTATCACTAGCTAGTTAAGATAGGAGATGATTTTGCAAGACTATGTATATGCAGAGGTGATGATCCCTGTTGGTTTAATGTATACATTCATAATTGTGTTCATATGGATCTTTTTGGGCTGAAAATGTAATTTTTTTATTGTCCAGGATGGCCAGATGGCAGCATCTGTTTTTCTTCAGTCTTGTGATTTAGCATCTTGGGCATGGTCGTGTGCAGTGGTTAGTGCCTGGTGGGGAGCTGCTCAGAAGAACCAGGCAGAGGCACAAAATGAGAATTTTCTGACGAGAGCTAACAAGGGAGCTGAAAAGGGCAGCTGGTAGTTTCATCTCAGCTGTGCGTGATTAGCACCAGGGCAGGCTAGGAGCGTGGCAGGACAGCCTGTGAGGAACTGGCAGTAGTGGCCAGCTGGAGGAGCTGCTCTGCTCATGTGGTACACGGTTTTATAAAAAGAAGATTTTCTGTAGTCACACGAATCTGTTACTTTTTTATGGCAATTCTCCACACTTGCAAAGATAAAGGACTTTCCAAAGGTTTGCGTAATGTTTTGTTCATAGAACATTGTCTAGAAATATGAGGGCTTACACTTAGCTAAGATGTTTTTGCAAGGAAATGGGAAAAGACAAAAGCAGCCTATTAGCAGCCACCATTTTCTGATATCAAAACCAAGACAAATCTGTTTTTTTATGTTATGATTTTCAAGACCGGTACATCAATAAATACATTTAAAAGAAAAGAGTGCATAGGTGCAGCAAATAGAGTGGTCCTCTCTGTTTCTCCTTTCACTACAATTGAGAACTCGCACTTTGTGTGCCTTGGCACTAGAGGCACAGTCAAAGGCTGCGGTCCTTGGTCGTGCTTTAATGAGCACACGTTTGAGGTTCCAATTATTCTTATAATCAGAATATATGATAATAATAGTCCCTCTGTGGGTCTAGAATTAAATTTACTGTTTCTTTTACAACAAATGTTTTACCTGAGGTCTGCAGTTGTTTTTTGTAAGATGTATTTACAATTATTTTAGTCCTTTCTGGATTTTACTACTCGGTTTTAACAATACGAGTAAACAATTGTGGTTTTGACAGTGGCAGATGTACTTTTGTTAATGTCATAACTAGTGAATCTCTTCCTTATAATATTTGTTCATTTATAAGAGTAGTTCATTTGAATGAACAGGCTCACTAAAACTTGGAGTGTTTCTTAGAGTAACATAGTTGAGTTTTATGATGTAAACATATAGCTGTTTTGAATTAAGATAAAGCCAGCAATGCCATTTGTCACCAGTTTCCTGATCAGAGTGTTGTTCCTTAGAGTATGTCCCTAGATGAGTTAACCCAGTGTACCCCAATCTAAAGTTTAATAGATACTCTTCCCGTAGTTAAGAAGTGCCAACCATTGGACTTACTTTGTTAGACAGTAAATTGAATACTCCCCCTCACCACCCTGCTGTATCTTTAGTTCTAGTTAAAGTGATTCTTTGGATATGGGAATCTTGATGCGCTGCCAGAAGCAGCACTGTGACTCTAGCATGGCATCTTGCCCACACTAATTTACCCTGAGAGGTAAAGTAATGAATAATGGGATCAGGATGTTTTCTGCTTCTCAGCTTTGTATTGTGCAATGCAGCATTCTTTGGTTATGAAAAAAGAATTACATTGAATTATATATATATCTCTCTCCTTACTTGCATGTATACAATGCAAAGGCACATCTTTGTACAAACTTTCTTTTGTAACAAACTTTTGCTTTATTGCAGAAGTCAAGATGATGACCCAAGAAAACACAGTTTCTTCAAAACCATAAATTTCCACAGGCTAGAGGCAAACCTTGTTGACCCTCCATTTGTGCCAGATCCATCAGTTGTCTATGCCAAAGATATTGGAGACATTGCTGACTTCTCTGAAGTACGAGGAATTGAGTTTGATGACAAAGATAAGAAGTTCTTCCAAAGGTTTGCAACAGGTGCTGTCCCTATACCCTGGCAGGAAGAAATTATTGAAACAGGACTGTTTGAAGAACTGAATGATCCTAACAGAGTAGAATCCGGGAAATATGTAAATGGAGATGAAGCTAAGTCAGGAGTTTGTTTATTGTTGTAAACAGCACATCATTAACACAAAGAGTAGGAACCATCTCAGAACATTCCATACTCTGACACTGTTTCAGAAACTGCATCTGTTTAAGAAGAACCAATCAATGTAATATGACATTGACAGGCTATGTAGAACCACCAGCTGTATAGACTATATTATTTCCCTTTGCTCTAATAAAAAAGCTAATGTTTTTGTTTTATTGGAGCTTTATCAAGTTGAAGAGTCATATTTCTCTAAGAAACTTAGAATAATAGAAATTCTCAGATACAAAAAGCAGCAATAGAGTGAAGAGGCAGCACCTTTTGAAAATGACCGACTACCATTTTGAATACAGTCACGTGTTGGTTTTCCTTCTATTTTCTTGTTATTTCTACTAACATTTCCTCTTTGATCAACAGTTTTCAGGAAATATTTTTTTAATTTTTAAGTAGTATTCTGAGTTAGACAGTGGAGCTCATATACCATGTCAAACTTGGAACCTAATTGGTTAGCCAGTCTGTCGTTTTCTTAATTTATGTTAGTTTTTGAATTATGTCATTGTAATATGTTCAAATTGTAAAATGTAACAGAAAGCTCTACATATCACTAGGAAATAGGACTGACAGGATCAGACTCTTCAAAGTTGATTTTAACAGAATGAAGATAAGATTGCACCAAAGTTGAATAAAGCATTTATTTATTATAATTATTAAGTGTATTCTTTTAAGTGACAATACCATATACAAAGAAAATGTATTTGTAATTTCTTTTTGGAAATGAATTTTAAACTTTTATCAGGTTTTCTGAAATTTTTTGTGTTTCAGCGATAAATTAAGCTACAAATTACAAAGCAATTTGTAACTGGCTTTTTACAAGACATTTATTTCAGTGCAGTGTAAATTTTAATTCAGTAGTTGCAAAAATACCTTCTACTGTTAAGTGCTAGAAAGGTTATGTGTGCAAGTTAACACCATCTTCAAATGTTCATTGATTCTCATCCTAATTTTGGTATGTTTTATTTTTCAATGTTATGACAACCTAAATTGAATTAATTGGAAACATTTCTGCGAGTGCTTTCTACTGCTGAATTGTTTTACTCATGAGAATTCATCCTACTGATTCTCTGGTAAGAAAATAGGTGGTAGTTAATTCCAACAACTTTTAAAACTGATTCTGCATGCTGTTTACTGTCATCTGTCTAGTCCTGGAGGCTGCTAATACCCTGTTACCTATTCTTCATAGAGCAAACCTCCTACCGAGCTGAAAAGAGTTATTTTATATAGATACTGGGATTGAACTCACATCTCTCTAAAAGAAGAAAGCCAATAGATATTATGTCTTCTACAGTCACGTCTATCATGTGCAGCACACAGCTTTAGTGTTAATTTAAAATCTAATAGTTCCTCACAAACATTGCAGTATTCAAAATCTCTTTTATTTTAAATACTTTTAAGTTATTTAGTTACAGCTACATAATACATTGATAATACATTGTGTTGTTCCAAGTAGAAAAAGAATTCTTCCCTTTTTTTCTTTCAAATTTACTTTTCCAGTGCTTTATGTACTTCATTTTCAAGTGAAAATAATGAAAATCAGTATTACTTAGGATTAGTGGATAATTTTGTTCATGAATTATGAGCACATAATTTGTTTGCCTCTTAAGGGGAGACTTTCTATCAGACAGTAAAAACAGTATGAGCTGAATTCTGACTCAGGCTTTTAATTGAGAAGGATGATCCTGAAAGACTGTGAAAAGCAGAGGAGTTTGAGAGGAGAGAGTAATGTGGTTCCGTCATGGATTTAGGAGGGTGCTTCCACCACGGACATCCAGTGATTTTATTTCTCGTTGTTCCTATCTGTAGAAAACTCTCAAAAGTGTGGTATTAGGCTAATATGTGTAAGAAAACCGGACAGGAAACTTTATACATTAAATACAAACAAACAACCAAAAAAAACCCCCACAAAACCAAAACAAATAAACCCCCTCAAAAAAAGCAAACACAAAACCCCGCAACCTCTACCCCCACCTTAATACAGCTTGGAGAGAATTGGGACACCTGGAATCCATACAAACGCCATTTCACATCCTCCAGAGCAATAAAGCAGAGCTCTGAAATGGCTGAAGATTTTCTAGCGCATGACTTTGTTCACAATCCCAAATAGAAAGAGGTTATGTATGGACAGAACCAGAATTTAATGTCCTGTTAGAATCTTGCATCACCAGGGATCACAGGGGATACATGTCTGTTTTTTTTCAAAATGTGTTGCAATACCGAGATCTGTGAACTCAGAACATAACATTAGGTTATTTAGTCTTAGAAATGTTATATGGTCAATAAATCCTCGCAGAATGTTTATCTGGGATACTGTGATGTTAAGTGTTCCATGAATCATTCAAAGAAGCACATCAGTACTCTGGTAATGCACAGTTTGGAATGTTGTATGAAAGAGAAAAATGTGTTAGTTTGAAATTGTTAATTTTAATTTTCTAAAACTCTATTTCAGAATGTACACAACTGGTGTTCACACTATGAAGAGACAGAGCAGAGCAAAAATTATTTCTATATTTCTATTAGCATTTTCAGTGCATCTTTAAAAAAATAATTTCAATTTCTTTCAAAGAATCTGTGAAATGCTCAGTTCTTTTCTTCTTCCTGCCAATGTAAACTTTCAGGAACAAAGTTATTTTAAGATCCTGCTTCACCTTAACAAAACAAAGCCAGCAATCCTAAAAGATTTACATGTTTGCTGAATTATCTTATTGCAGCTAATGTTGCTGCTCATGAGTAAACTTAAATGTGTATGCAAATGTGCAAGATCAGGGCCCAAGGGAGAGAAGTATTGACCAAGTAACTGGATGTTTATGGTAGAAAATGAGGGATGAAGTTGTGGGAGGAAAATAACCTTGTGGCTGTGGGGTATTTTTGTTTTTGTGGCAAAAGAAAATGATGTAATTTGAAACTGCTAATTTTTTTCTTCTATTCATCTCTCTTTTCCTCTTTTTCAGCTTTGTGGGTCTTGCCTGCCTTTTTTTCAGGCAGATAGATACAATGCATTCAAGTGCTAATCTAACCTAAAAAGCTAAATTATGAACTCTGTTGCATTAAATGCCATCTGTGAAAGAACACTGGGTACCCTGGCCACTCTGCAGTGATTGTACTAACAGCTTTGTCTTTCCTGTCCTGTTTTACTTAGTACTGCTAGCAGGACTGCTTGATAATTTTAACCAAAGAAGGCTGAAATGTGAGATTTCTAAAGGCTTGAAATCTGTTCTTATAAAAGTATCCTGGACAGAGCTGCAGAAAGGCTGCTGGCACTAAGAGGGTATAAAAGCAAAAGTTTTCTGTTGTAACTCAAGTCCAAATGTTCTTTGATACCATACCTGTGACCTTTACTATTACTCAGAGACAAAATGTGGTTTAGTATTTACTTAATAAAATCTTTGTCCACAGCAATGATTTATCAGTGGCAATAAAGCTCTAGCTTTGTTCCTTTGGTTGTATCATGGCAAAGGCTCATTTAGTCAATAAACATCTTGTGTTGTACCAAGTAGTTAACTTTTCTGTTCCAGTAATAGATGTAGAATTGGAACCTGTGTGCAATTTCCAGACTGCCAAGTAGCATCAGTCAGGGAAGGGAGCTTTACATTAAGTTAAAAGCCTCGTAGCAAACGTAATAGTTGAGATAGTTATTTCTTAATCATAAACAAATGTCAATACAGAAGGCAAAATGGAGCTTAGATCTCTAGTTAGAGCACTTGCCTCTAACTGTGGAGTGTAGCTATAAAGTGATGTATGGTTTAATATTCTTTTAATAACAGTATTTTTTAGAAATAAAAAGCTTGTAATACTGTATTTAAATAATAATATGCTGTATTGTTGCTTTTACCGCTTTTAATGATACATATGTAACATTTTTTTATCTGAATATCCACAACTATGATTAAGATAAGTAAGTATGCTCCTACTTTAAAAGTATTTTTTGCTTCTTTTACACTGATAATTATTTGTATCTTTAGAATTAGGTTCTTTTATACCAAAAGACTTAAATTCCTTTATATATACAGTAATCAATTGTAAAAAAGCAAAAATAATATGCACAATGTTTTTTCTTTATAACAAGATTTAAATTAAGATTTTAGCCACTTTGCCTCGTAGCACACAGAAATACTGAAAATCCTGAAAGTTCTGGGGTTTTTGCAAAAAACAAAGTATACATTTTTTTTCCATGTGGCTAACCCATCAATTTTGAAATTTATGGATACCAGAAATTACTGGCTTTTTATAGTATGAGACCTATCACTTGTGGCGTTGTGGGCAAAGGTCACCTATGAGCATTGTGGCTTAGGGTACATTTGAAACACTGTGTTATGATAGCCTTAAGGAGCTTCATAGACTCATTAAGGAATGCCTGGACAGAAACTGGAAATAAATTAACTTAATCATATGACTTTGTAATTGGACACGGTAAGTAACTCTAAATCTAGTATTTAATTTAGAAAGTAGACCAAGGATTATTGTTTTTTGGAAATAATTGTTTGGTGTTTCTCTTGACTTTCACTTATGTAACTAGTCTGAATCTGAGCGCTGAATACTCACAGCTAGTATAAAATTCTTACCATTTTGCCCCTTGCATTTTCAAAAGTGTGAATAAAATGCTCAGTGTTTGTAAGGGAGTGGAAATCTTTTAGGCATCCCTTGCCTGTAAAAGAGCAAGAGCAGAGGGTGTGTCTCTTACAGTGAAAGTACCTACATCCATGGGAAAATATAGTTGACATCTGTAAGTAGCACTGTGCTCTTGAGTTAACTTCCTTTGTATGACATGGCACATTGTTCTTATATTTATCCCACATCTCTACCCTCTTCTGTCACCTCCAGAAAGGCCAGCAGAATTCTGAAAGAAGCCATTTTAACTTTCAGGGAAACTTAATGTTAACTCTGTAGCTTGGAAAGACAAAAGGTGCCATGAAGAATAGCTGTCAGCACCATTTCAGTCAAGCATTACTCCAAGTGGTGAGAGGTTTTGGG